TTATTATTATAATAATTATTAATATAATAATAATAATAATAATAATAATAATAATATAATAATAATAATAATAATAATAATAATAATAATAATAATAATAATAATAATAATAATAATAATAATAATAATAATAATAATAATAATAATAATAATAATAATAATAATATAATAATAATAATAATAATAATAATAAAATAAAGGAAGAAAAAATTTAACCTCGTTTCCCCAAACTTCCTTTTCCTCCCCATCATCGTCTCAACACCGATGACTTTTTTTCCTTCTTTTACATATTTCTTTTGTTCCTCATTTTCCTTCTTCGTATCAACTTTCTTCTCCATAGTCTTTTTCTTCAATTTTGTTGTTGTTTTAATGAATGTTTCAAATAATAATTATTTTTTTTCTAATTCAATTAATTATTTTATCATGTTATGTGCTTAGTAGGGGTGATAAAGTGGGCGGGCCCGTCTTATTTAGATTCGCTCCATTTAAGTCTGTATAAAAGTGGAGCGGGGCAGGACGGGCAAACATAGACATCCGAGCGTAAAAGTCAAGCTCGTCTCGTTTGCTAACGAGTTGGCGGGTTGGCGGACTGACCCGCCAGTTTTTTTTAGTTTTTTTATTTTACAATTTAATTTATTACATAATTTATAAAAAATTTAATCATTACTAAAGAAGCCGACAAAAGATATTTTTTTAACAACGCATAATATAACTTCAACATGTCTTAAGTCCAAACACTTAAAAAAATAAAATAGATAAAGACCAATTTCAAGAAAAATATATCGAAATAGACTATAGCACGATAAATAAATGTATCAAAATAAATTAATAAACAACACATATCATCATAATCCTTTTTAAAAACTAATTACCAAAAGAACCCAATTAATAATTTGAACAAGTCAAACAATGATAATATTATAGTGCATAAAATATCATAGTGCATAAAATAGTAGTGTATAAAATATTAACACCTGACTTTCTCATTATTTACGTCATATAGACTATTATATTGACTGATTCCTTAATAGTTATCTTAAATTTGTCACGCGTATACTCTAATCGAATTCTTCTTTTTCTTAAAATTAACATTTGTTTCTAAAGAAAACATGTGAGCTAATGTATTGACAACTTAATAATTCTTCATGCTATACAATTGTTCTTGTATTTCAAGTTTTTCCAACCAATACATGTATTAGAAAGTTATATAAAGAACCTTACAATTATAATTCAATTTGTCTATATAATAATTTAGAATGTAATTCAATCACCATAATCCAAAAGAATATTATTGTTTTTATAGTTAAAATTGTCTTAATTCTAAGTAAAAAGTAAAAAATTGTAATAAAAAGCCCACGGGCAAAACCCGTCTCGTCCCGCCTAAATCCGATTTTTAAATCGGGTTAAGCGAGGCGGACTAACTTAAAGTACTGAACCGAAAACCTCAGCTCAGCCCGCCAAAAATGGTAGGTCAAAAGGACTGGCCCGACAGACCCGACTCGTTTTACCATCCCTAGTGCTTAGATATAGTTAAAAAAATTCAGTAAGGTGTTAAACTTTTTAATATGTTATAAATTAAAAAATATTTTATTATAAATTTGTATTAAATTAAAAGTGAATTAACATTTTAGTTAGGATCATTAAAAAATATATCATTAAAATTTTATTTTAAAATTTTTCTGATAACTAGTAAGATCTTCGTGCTTCCGCACGAGTAAATTTATTTGATATTGTATAAAATATATTTAGACACATATAAATTTAAAATGAGTGACATAATTATAAATGAAAAATGAACATATAAACTCAAATTTATTAAATAATCATAACAATATTAAAAAAATGATCCGTGAGATGGAGAAAAAGTAAAATTTCAACATTTGAAAAAAATTGTCTCTCAAATAAAGATAATTGTTGATTAAAACAAATTAAACATTGTGTTGATAATAACCCGTGTGATAAAAAAATTATTTGATATGATATAAAATATATTTAAATACAAATTCAAATTTTGAAATGATTTACTTAATTGTAAATTGAACAATAATTAAATAGTTCAATAAGGTAACACTCGAGCCCAAAAAGGGTGGAGGATAGTTGCACCACATGTAACCCTCGAGGCCGAAGAGGGCGAGGAGCATAGTTGTCAAACTCGCGGGTAGACTCATAAACTCGCACGGGTTTATGAGTCTAGGAAGCATAAACGAGTAGACTCGCCCATAAAATCATTTTTTAATAAACTCGAGTAGACTCGCACAAACTCGTATAGACTCGCGAGTATATCACTAGTTTATGAGTCTATCATTTTTTTTAAATCAAAAAAGGCCAAAATTCCTCAAAAGAATTTATTTTATTTTTTAAAAAAATCTTTGTTTTGTTTTGCTTTTACAAGACATAGAAAGTCTCTCTCCAAGTCTCTTGCACAATATTTCTACAGAGCTATGACTCTAGAATTATAGAGGTTTGTAATTCGTGTTCAAAATTTAACTTGTAGCTCCTTTGGTTGTGAACAGAATTGGAATTCCTTTGAAATGGTAATGAATTATTATTAATTTTATAGACTTGATTTTTATTCTTTTAGAAACATTGAGTTCAATAATTATTTACTTTGCAAGTTAATTCAAATAGAAGAAATATGTTGCAGAAAAAAATTAATAATTTGGTTTATGTCTTGTGCAATTTGAAGTTGAAAAGTAGAAAAGGGAAAATAAAGAGCGTGTTCTTTCATTTTAGGATATTCATTCAGATGATGAATGGATAACTGAAGATCCTAATAAAGAAAATATGTAAACTGAAGTTAATGTTAAGCAAGATGATGTTATTGTTAACAATGCTTTGGAAGTTGGTGTTGGTGTTACTAATTGTGCAGTGGCAGTGGTGGAAATGTTGAATTAGGTGAAAGTGGAACTTCAAGAAATCCAACATTGGTTAACGATGAAGAAGGTGTTTCATTTGGGGTATATTTTTGTGATGATACTCAAGATCTTGATGAAAAAGATGGTAATGGTATTGGTAGTGATCATTTCATTGGAGCTTTTGATGTTTGAAGCCAATAACATATTTGTTTATGATTATTTTTTTCTTTAAAGTTGTAGCCAATTAAGAAGATATTAGTATTTTAAGTCTTTAACTATATACTTTTCTATTTTGTTTGTTTTATTATCAATTTTATTTGCTAAGAAATTTTTTATGAAGTATGAAATTTAAATTTAAATGTTAATTGTTGTCTTATTATATATATTTATGTCATATATGATGCAGGTACAAGTTTTAAAATATAGGAGTGTGTCATAAATGTGTCACTTACGGGTTTTTTGAAAGTCATTTTTAATTTTCTATAGACTCGTACGAGTTTGCGAGTCAAGTCTACGAGTCGAGTCTACGAATCTTTTATGAGTCTGAGTAGACTCGCGAGTTTGACAATCTTGGCGATGAGTGGTTGCCACATCGTAATGAGAGTGATCCTGAAGCTGTACAGGTATGAGATTGCATGGTTGAAGGAAAATTTATAAGAATTGATTAGTACTACATATACCAACAAGATACACCTTCTTTTCGGTAGTCTAATAGATAAAAACTCCGCAATTAAGTGTACTTGACGTGGAGTAGTATTTGGATGGCTGACCTCTGGAAAGTTTTTCGAAAAACATGTGAGTAAGGACAAATCATGTTGAAAAAACCTGTGTTGGTTTGTGGGGCCAGTCGGAATCCTGAAAGCAGACTGAGACATTACAAATAATTTCAATTGTACAGTATTAAATAATCATACAAAAAAAAGGAATCGTGAGATGGAGAAAGGAAAAATATTTAAAAATGAGGACTTTGTCACTCAAATTAAGATAATGATTGATTAAAATAAAATAGATATTGTGTTTATAGTGATCCGTGAGATAAATAAGTTTTTAATTTTATTAAAAAAAATAGATTATTAATATTTTTAGTGATAGTAAATAAATAGAGAGAAAAAATAAAATGAAAGTAAGAAAGTGTGAGAAAAAAATGAAAAATTAAAATTTTTAATCAAGAGAGAAAGTGGATTAAAAGAAAAAATTGATCAATTAGACCAATAAACAAATAACACATATAGGACAATGAGGCAATGTGATATGGAGGAGAGATTTAATTGAGATATTTGTTGTTAACTTATAAACCCTTGTAATAAGATAATAATTATGAACATAAATGATAATTTAGGCAAACATGGGATTGATTTGTCATAGTTAGATAATAGACATTAGAAACAAAAATAAAATATCATTCTAAAATTAAAAACAACATCCAATTTTTTATTTATTAAAAAAAAAATTATTAATCAAGAGAGTGATATTTTATTTTTTTAAAATAGAATTGTTTTAGAATTTTAATTTCGAGTACTTTACAAAAGTTAGAAGTAATGATTAATTGAATTACATGTGTACTTTTTTTTTTGTTTACATACAAAAGAAAATATCATATTTTTTTTTTGACAAAAGTGATATTATATTGTATTGATAAAATAAAAAAAGTCATTCACAAAATATAAAAATGTATTAAAAATTACAATTTATAATAGTTAAATGTTTTAATTTGAATTTTTGTTTGCCCTCACTTGCAATATGTTATGAATCCGCCACGAGTCCTCGTGACAGCGACATAAAAATGTAGAAGAATTAGAAGCAGAATTATACGTTATCTTGCATCTCTTGCATACCTTTGATACTTCCTTCCTCTTTCTTCTCTATATCTCTTTCGGAACTTTCCTCTTCTTTTTGTTTTCCCAAAACTCTCAATGAACTCACTTTGTACTTCATAATATTATTACTACTTGTAAACAAATATTTCCTTGGACTTTTTACATATTTTGTTATTTCAAAAGTATCCTTTTTATTTCACTTTTCATATTAAAAGATCTCCTACGTTTTTTATACTAAGAATTTAAATTCCACGTTCACTTTCCTATGTGAATAAACAAAATACATATCGAATTAGTTTGGATTTCTGTAATAAAGAATCTCTCGTAAATGATGACATAAAAAAAATGTTAAATTTAATTTCTAATATAAATAATATTTGATCAGTGTTCATATCTCAACTCATAAACTCATAGAATATCATTCTCTTATAAACTAAAGTGTGAAAGAAAAAAAAACATAATTCATATACATGAGGGTACATGTTTGATGTTTGGTTTGTCGAATAATAAACATGGTATCCCACTGAATTAATATTTGAAATTTGTAAGATAGTTGTCAGCACAAACGGCTTAGGAGTATCTTCAATTATTACAATATTATTTACATACATTTTAAAAAGAAATTATCTAAAGTAAAACACAACTTCTCTTAATTTTATACAACATCATCCATAAAAGGCCATGCTAGCTACTTACTAGCTTTTGCTTTTCTGCTTCTCTATAGCACAATGTTATCGGAGAAACGTCTTTTCGTTTTTTCTCGCTTATTCTTTTGTAGTTTCTCTTCTCTTTTCTAATTTAATAAAGTGTGTCATCCATCATTGTTTTGCTTATTTTTTTCTACCACTTTAAACATATTTAATAATAAAAACATATTATCAATAATTATGAGTATACATTGAAATCTATTTAATAATAAAAATATATTATCAATTATTATAAATAAATATTGAAACATACTTCCTCTATTTTCTTTTATAAAAAAATTTTGAATTTTTAGATTTATGGAATAAATGGTGTATTTGAACTATATATAGACTAGATACATTAATTGTTCAATGAATCTAAAAAGTTAAAATTTTCTTATAAAAGAGAATAGAGTGAGTATTTAATAACTAGTGAGAAATCTATTCATCCGTATAAATTCTAATATAAACCGTAAAACAAATTAAAAAATAACAAATTATTATTGAGAAAAAAAAAGAAAAAAAAGGACTCCAAAATAATTATATAAATTTTTAAAAAATTCTATTGTTAAGAAAACACATACTTTATAAAAATAATTATGAAAAATAGAAGAAAAAAATTAGAATTGATAGAGTTATAATAATAAAAAGTTTATAAAGTTTAATAAATGCGACAAATAAATATTTAAAATTAGAATTAATTTAAAATAAATAATTTTACATCAAAATTTTTAAAAAATAATTATTTAAAAGAATTAAATTTAATATTATATTTATTAAATTTTACATAAAAATATTTAATGTTGCATTCTTAATTATATTTATAACTATAACTTAAATGTCATTTAATTATTATTTTAATCCAATGTTACCATATATAAAAACACCAATTTTTTAAATATGAGAAAAACACATTTGAATTCAAAAGAAAATAAAATATTTTTAGGCAACTAAAAATAGACATGAAATCTTAATTAACTATAATAAAACACGATGATATATGATGAAATGTTGTTATACATATATAATCTTCAAAATTTTGTATCTTAATTTAAAAATAAATTTAAACAATATATATATATATATATATATATATATATATATATATATATATATATATATATATATATATATATATATATATATATATATATATATATATATATATATATATATATATATATATATATATATATATATATATATATATATATATATATATATATATATATATATATAAAATGAAAAAAAACAAAATATTTATATTTTGTTTGAATTAATATATTATTTTTATTTTTATTCTTTTAATTGTATAAAAATATAATAATCTGTGAGTTTTACGAATTTTAATATGATTATCTGTGCGTTCATATGATATTGATGTGTTATTCGTGTATTCACACAAATATTGGTGTAATACGCACATTTTTGTGTTTCAAAATATAATAAAAAGAATAATGAAATAAAAAAAAAAAAGACAAAATTATGTAATTAAAATAATTTATTATTTTTAAAAAAGATAATAAGTTAATTTTAATATTTTTTCTATATATAAAAATATTTTAATTAACAATATAATTATTTTAAAATATAATAAAAATGTAAATCAGAAAAATAAAATTAATTTATCAAATAAATTTATTATAAGAAAAACAAATTTTCATTTTTATTTTATATAGTTTTTACGAAAAAAAACTTTATAAAAATATCATTGACTCACTAATCACTATCAACTTCAGCTTAATTGTTTTTTCTAAACTCAAATTTGTACTTTTACTTGTAGTTTCATGATGAACAAATTACTTGGCCGACATTATAATATATATCCAAAAAGAAAGAGCAAATTATTAACATCACCCGTAAAAAAACTATTACGATGCGTTACTTTAACATGAATATGCCACTCGATGCTTGTCCCCTACCATAGTAATCATAATGTTAACATGAATTACTTCAAACCACTTTAATAGTCATTGTAACAATCGGTCAATAATGTTAACCTAAATTGATTCAACCCGATTTAATATTATAAGTGAAAAAGAAATTTAAGTTCATTCAATAATGAAAGTATTTAATCCATATATATATATATATATATATATATATATATATATATATATATATATATATATAATATTCATTATTCAATAAAATTAAAAATAAAATATTTAATTATAATAATGGTCAAGAGGGATACTTTGAAGCAACAAAACAACAATAGTGTGTTTCACTTAAAGACACAACTTCATAACAAAATTGACGCAATGAGAGATGGAATAATACAATACTTATAAGGTGGAATGATATAAGACTCGCAATGCAATATAATATTGGGAGATTAGCATGCCTGAATATATAACAGATAAAAAACTTCATGTTTTAAACATTTTTTAGTAACCATATATCCATGTCTCACATAATCTAAGCTCCTTTTATCTAAAAAGATTAAATATAAATAGTAATATTGTGTTGAAAGTAATTTCTTGTGTCGAATATGTTTGCTCGATAGAGATAAGAGAATATCAAAAAGATTTGATTTGATTTAGAAGTGTCGAAATAGTTTGTTACACACAGATTTAATTTAATTTTAGATTTAGATAGATTTGATTTAAAATAGATGGATTTGATTTAGTTCAAAAATAGGTATTTTGGGTTTTGAGAGTTTTTGATTTTAGCTTGGGGAGCAAGC